TTTTCTATGATTCCAGATTTTTGGCTGTGGATGTAAAATTGATTTGGCTTCAGTTTTTAAAAAGGGCATAAATGTTTTTTTTAATAAGTAAATCTCATTTACTTGAATGTATTACAAATTGTGCATCTGTATGTATATTGAAGGCCTGTAACTCACCAAATAGTCATAGTATACGTAACTTCATTAAATAGCCTGAAGTTATTGTACAAAAACGACAAAAGTGGCTCCTAGATGTGAGCTTGTGTTTACTCCCAGAGCTTACTGCAGTGTTTTACAGTTTCATAACTCCAGTATTGCAAACAGACTCTCACTCCCACACTATTTAACTTGTAAAAAAGACATTGACTTGTAACTAAAAATGCTAGCCCTTCATCTGGCAAAGAGAAGCTGTCTTAAATAAGAAGCAGCTGCAATCACACAGCCACCGAATACTGCACACAGGTTTAATGTAACTTAAGTTTATCAAGGACGGATTAATATAATTTAATGAAATGCTGTCATATGATAGTAAATATTGTGGAAAAATGATTAGTAGCAGCTTTAAACCTCCCTAAAAACTGGTGAGGATACAAAAATGAACAAATTTAACTGCATTAAAAAAAAGGATCAATATATTAAACAAAGCTAGCTTTTCATTATAAAGTAAATATATGTCCACCATATGTTTCCCATTATTTTTAACATCATTACTGTTTGTTTTCGCAGATGTGGGTGGGTTTTTTTTTTTGTTGTTGCAGTTTTACAGATTTTTTTTATATCTGTTTGTAAAAATATTTTAAAAACTGTTAAAATTGAATTTAGTGATACAAAAGCTGTTATAATTTTCATCCTACATTTGTTTAGCAGCTTTAATGAAAATCTTGTGTTTTATCCCCTTATAGGGGATTTACTGCTCAGCATGGCTTTTATTTTTTTATTATTTTACTGTGTTTAAACTAAACTCAGAGCAAAGTTCAGCTACGAGCTCATTTGCATCTGCCATACCTTGGCAGGTCACATTTTTACCTACTTTTATGGTCACACAATAAAAAGTCTAAATTGCTTAAACAGTATGTGAGTGAAAATGCACCAACGTTAAGAAAAGAAGCATGCGATTTTTATAACACCAGAAAGAGCTGCAAAGCAAAAAAAGAAGGCAAATTATATTTTATGCATATCATCTTCTTTTCTCAGAAAAGAAAATGATATAAGTATTTTTTTAACTATGAAAATTATTAAATGCATTTTGGCCAGAAAGTCTATAACAGTTGTGTTTTAAAGATATATTATATTTAAAAACAGAATATATTGTTTTGGGAAATTCTGCAGACACCAGTAGTGCCATCAAAGCAACAAAAGACTGAAGTAGCTGCTTTACCGAGCACAGATTATCTAAATGCCTCATCAGTCAGGGGTAAAGCTCAGAGATCAGCTCCCGGCCACAAAAGCAGACCTCAGACCCCGCCCCCAGAGGGTGGGGTTGCAGGTGACATCACCGGGGAGAAACCCATACATGTAAGCGCATCACATGATGTCAAGAGTCAGGTGTGGGCGGTTCACAGACACACACAGACGTACATGCATGTACACGCCCACAACCCACACATACACAGGTATGCCTGAGTCACTGTTATCACCCCATGCATGAAAAAACACACACAGAAAATCCTGAACTACACCTCCACCTCACAGACGCACACACACACACACAGTAGTTTTCCATCAACCTTTGCACGCAACACCATCTCACCTTTCTTCAGTGTGTGTGTGGGCAGCCAGTCAGGAGGAAGTGTCAGATTAGTGAGTTAAAGCATGAAGAAGAGACATTTCAGACACAACAGATGGAAACAGTGAGTTACTATTACACAACGCCTTGTAATACAGCAGCTACAGCGGCATGTGGCTATTAAACAAAATTACACACCGTGTAAAATGTCCACAAATCAAAAGCCTGCCCTGATTTAAATCGTGCTGATGTCTATAACGGACCAAGCTCATTTCTAACCGTTTTCTTATTTTTATACTTGTTGATCAGTCTGATTTGTTTTTACTCCTGTTTGGATCGCCAGTAAATTCATCATCAGGAATATCCTCTTTTATCCAGACAGGCTGGCTGCTATTTTTAGATCTCTTCCTGAAAGTCCCAGTCTGACCACTTACACACTACAAAAAGCAACTCGTGCCTCGGGCCGACCCGGATTGCATCTAATAATGAATGCCAGGTCTCGGGCAGTTTTCAGCTTAAAAGTCAACAGTTTAGAAGCATTAACGCTGGCGTTTGGCTATGTTGAGTTAAGGACTGTTCAGTTCTCACAAAAACAACAGGGTATAGCAGATGGTGATGATAAATCATGCAGATAAGATGCTGCTGGTTTGAAAATGTGCTAGAACAAGAGCAAAGATCACCCGTGAGGGGAAGAAACATGAAAAAAACATGAATAAATAAAACAATCAGCACAAGAAGCTCCGACAGGCTTCAGACTTTTAGGTTCTTGTGAGTTTTTAAACATGTAAACTGATATACAGAAAATATAGTTTTGAAATTTGCACTGTTAAAATTTTTATACAAGCTAATTCTATAAGAATTCGGGACCTGGACCCTTTAGTTTCTTTCTTTTTTTTCTCTCCACAACGTTTCTAATATTTACGGTAAAATAATTTTAATCTGCACATCTTTTTCCTTTGTTTTCACAGGAGTCAATGTATGCACACAGGAAACACACTGACCAGTCGTATGCTTTGTAACACAGAGCATGTGTGAAAACAGAAACCCTGAGGAGACGAGCTGCAGAAGTCTGAAGAAAATCAGGGGACAGGACATAAAAGAAGTTGAAGCTAAGAGTCTTTTTTTAACTACATTAAACTAAGTTCAATTAAAAAATAATAATTAAAAGGTGTAGTTTTAGTTTTGTATTTTCTTGACCCTCCAGGTCAATGAGAAAATTAATAATAAGCACTGCTGAAAAACTGCTGGATTATACTTTCTTTGTTTTATTTGACAGCCAGTTGCTGGCTTCATACAGACACCCATGTCCAACTGTTAGGTTACTTCAGTTATACTACTTTGAATATGCCTGCTGTAGGCTCAGATGCACTTTAACAGGCTGAGTTGGATGATA